CCCTCGGCTTCTGGCTCTGTCCTGCATGCTTTCAGCCCTGTGGAGAGAGAATCCCTGACAGTGCTCCCACCACATGGAGATAAGCTAAACTTCTGAAGACTGTTCTGTTCGGACGGTGCAGCTGTGACAGTTTAATGAGCGACACTAGATTCAGCAACGCCCGTGCGTTTAATCATGGCCGCTGCTGGAGCACAGAGGCCCGCACGGGAACTCGGGAATGACATGCAGGGGAATGACATGCAGGTGGCGGCGCTGGGGTTCGGGAGGGAGTCTGACGGGGAAGGAGACCGCCAGAGACAGCGGTGAGGCTGGCTCTGTGTTGAGGACTGGAGGACTGGAGGGAGGAGAGCACTGGTTTGGAGTAAATCCTCGGGCTCTGCAGCTGTTAAACTGGAAGTGCACGACCTCCCAGGGCCTCCGATGGGTTTGCAGGAGTCCCGAGCCGCCTGTGGACAGGCTGGCAAGCTCCACTTCGCCGTCTCCAGGGTCGGAATTCTGGGGAGCCCATCTGTGACTCCTCTCTGGCAGTGTGGAGCCCAGGGCACGCTGGGCCTCCCTGGCCAGGGCATCTGGCAGCTGGGAACGGCGCCGCGGGGAGAGGGACGAGGGGAGAGACGTGGGTGTTGACTCCAGTCCCGACCCACAGCTCCTCCTCTGAGACCCGCTCCATGTTTCAGCCTGTGGAGGGTTCCCTGCTGGGGACGGCCCAGGGCAGTCGCCCGCCCGCGGCTGGTTGTTTCAGACCCGGAGCCCCGGAGCCCGGCGTGTAGGAAGCGTTAGGCCGGGTCTTGCGGAGCTGGTTTCTTGTTTCTCTCCTCGCAGAGACGATGGAATCTGTTTCCCGAGCAGAGTTTTCAGTTTTGTTTCTTTTGAACACTGAAAGAACAGGAAGAGACGGCCGAGGTGCCACATGCAGATCTGTTGTCAGGTTTTGGCTCTTGGTGGCCGTTTTCTTTCACTGATGATGCCAGATGCTCTGTGCGATGTTGACCATCCACCATGACAGCGGCAGTACGAAATGTAGACTCTGGTATTGGATAAGGATTTTAAAATGTAGCCTCCTAGAATGCATGCAGGATGGCAGACAGAAATCATCGCGCTAGAGTTTTAAGTCGTTGAAGGAAGGACAGACGCATCCAGAAACTTAGGTGAATGCACTTAAACCTTCTCCTCCGGGGAGGTTTGACGCAGGCCAGAGCTCGTGCGCAGCGCATGAGAGGGGCCGACAGACCGGTCCTCAGGAGGTTTCGAGCCTAGCAGGGCCCTCACCATCCGTCGACGGGCTACGCGCTGTCTAATTAGAGGCTGAACTGTGTGGAGAGTCTCTATTATTGTAACAATAAAAGAATCCTTCGCAGGGTGTGGGAAGCTCCACGGCCAGGCCCGGCTGCGCCCGCTGACGCAGTAGGCGCTCCTTGGCTCTGGCTGCGGGAGGAAGTCCTCACTGCCCGGCGCAGCCAGCGGGTGCCGGTTACACGCAGATCCCTGGAGCGCGTGTCCGAGGCTGCGTGCACAGCAGAGCGTTTTAGAGGAGTGAGTCTGAGTCTGTGTTTCATGTTGGAATAACGGATTGAGGTGTGTCACCATGCTGCTTTCTGGTCAGCGTGGTTTCTGTAGACAGGATGCGTGTCTTCTTCCAAGTCACTTATGGGGTTTTACAATAACCAGCGGGTATAAACGGAGAGGACACTGGCGGTTGAAATGCTCAGGGATCGAGGATACGGAGAGATCCACGAGGCGCAGAATCTTCAGTAAGTCAATCATCAATGATGTGGCGAGGAGGTGACTTTGTTTCTTAGTGAGCTGCATCCAGCGTGGTGGAGTTGTGGGTTTAAAAGGAACTCGCAGAGGTTGCTGGAGGCCGTGTAAGCTTGGTGTGACCGAGGCCTGCGAGCTGGAGCCTCCATCTGCTTCTGAGCCGGGAGCCTGCCGCCTCCACCCCCCACACCCCCGCACAGCGGGTGCCCTCCCCACGGCAGGCCAGGGGCAAGCTGCAGAACCTCACCCTGGCGCCGACGGTGGAAGTCAGCTTATTAAACATGGAGCAGGGATCTGAACTTGGGAGAGAACAAGTCATAAAACCGGCCCCACGTCCTCTGCCCGGTCCTTCCTGGTTTTCCTGTGCCGTTTCCACCCGGTCCCCAGCTTTGCCACCGCGCTCAGAGTGGAGAGGGACAATGGGGGAGGGGCAGCGAGTCACTGAGCCCGCTTGCAAAGGGAGTGGAGTGATCTTCGTGCCCTGGCTTTCCTGGCATCCGCGCTGCCCGGCCTGACAGTGGCCTTTTGTTTCTTTTGGGAAGCGGGAGGCACGGCGCCAGCACCTTCCGCGTCCGGCCCAAGGCAGCGGCTCCATCTCCTCTGTCAATCAGCATCCGCTGAGAAGCACCCAGGAGAAGCCGGGCAGATGGTTGAGGGAACGTTTTCTTTTTTTACACATGATGCTAAACACTCTCATATGGTTAAAGAAACATGAGTAAAAATACAATAAAAACCCAACAGAGTGAAGATACAAGGGTACACAGGGCTCACACTCTCAGCCTGTTGTTAAGCATTTCATGTGTGTGTGCGCGTGCGCATGCCTGTGAGTGAAGGTTTATGTGTGTGTGTGTGCGCGTGTGTATGTGTGTGTGCGTGTGCGCGTGCATGCCTGTGAGTGAAGGTTTGTGTGTGTGTGTGTGTGTGCGTGTGTGCGTGCGCATGCCTGTGAGTGAAGGTTTGTGTGTGTGTGTGTGTGTGTGTGTGTGTGTGTGCGCGCATGCGCAGGTTTGTCTGGGTGAGTGTGTGCATTTGATCAAGCAGATTCACTTCTGGGTGTGGGAAAGTTTTTCCTTAAGGAATGCTGGAATGCAGATCACTATTTTAAGTACAGAGAGCACGGTGCCTGTTTGAAGTTGGGATGACTCTGGGCCACGGAGGGCCGCGGCGTGTGGTGTGACTGCTCGCTGGCGTGGGGGCCCGGGCAGGCGGCCGGCGTCGTCCCTGGTGGGTGTCTGTTCAGCTGCATTGGTGATGTCATCACAGGCCGCCGGGCTGTCCCGGTGTTGGGTTCCGTCTGGGTAGGTCTGGTGACGTGCTGACCCGGCCTCATCGCTGGGGATGTCCCTAGGAACTCAATGACAGGCACGGGGCGCTCCCCGCACCCCGCGGCTGCTGCGAGCCGTCCCTGGGCGGAGGATCAGCGCCGTCGTTGTGAGTTGGACGGTGGGTGCCGTGTGGTGTCTTCCTCCTCTGAAAGGGAAATGGACACTTGGGGAGCTTAAGAAACGTACTCACACAGCAGAACCGGAGTTAACGGAGCCTATTGAGCACCGGACTCATTATCCCTAACCAGTTGTCTTTCAGTGAGACCTATGTGTCATCAAAAGATGACACAGAAACTGGGAAGCCACCTCGGCCCCATTTTCTCCGTGATGCGTGAAACTTGAACTTCCTTTGAACGGATGGCTCACTGCAGCAGCCTAGTGACAGCCCCAGTGTCATTGTGGGGGGGCTGTGCTGGGATTGTAGGGGGACACCCACTGCTCGGCCCGCTGCCCCCACCCCTGTCCCCTCAGCTCCCCATCCCCCGCCCCCCGGCCTTGCACAAAGCCCTCCCGGCCTTTCTCTGGCTCCTTTTGCGGCGAGGAACACATCTGTGGGTGACCACCTGGCCTCTCATCAGTTTTCTGGAACGGCGTTAGTTGGCCTTATTTCTCAGATGCTGGCTGTTGCTGGCACGGGGGCCGTGAAGCGGCTGGGGCTGCCGTAGTTGTCCGTGGGGCTTTGGGGACAGCACCAACATGGCCAGTAGCAGGCGCAGAATCAGCTGGGGCGCCCCATCGGGTGTTCTGAACGCTCAGGAATTCTTAAAATACGTCTGTTCTGACACAGAGGTGCTGGGACATTGGCCATCTGGCTGCCAAAATGGAAATAGGAGTTGAGTTCTGTGAGTTGTAGTTTGCCTGTTGTGTCTGTACCTTAAACATGTTAGCGTAAGGTTACTGGGGGTGTCCGTCTCCCCAGTTTTGAAGTAAAAGTTGTAGCAGCTTCTGGATTCTTGGTGGCAGCCCGGGAATAGAGCATTTCATATTTGCAATTCAGTGGGTGCTTTGCCCTGGTTGAGTAGCTGGCGTGGCTTTGGGGTAGTTCATTGGTAGAGGCAGATCTTGGAGGTTCTTCAGAGGATGCAGGAATTACTCATCTCCACAGACCGACCCGCTCGGGCTGTGCTCAAGGCTGGACCCCTGCAGGGTGTGTGCCACTGCCCTGCGCTCAGGACCTGTCCACCCAAAGGCTGGTGGGAGGCCAGGAGCCCTCAACCGGAAGGAGGACTGAACATTGAGAAAGCCAGTGTAAGTTAGTTCCTTTGGCTAAAATCTTGAGAATACAAAGACTCGTTTTTTGGGAAACGATGTGAAAAAGCGGAGAGGGAAGGGAGACACTTGCATGACCTAGAAGAGCAGACCTCGGTGTGGGGGCTTGGAAGGAAATGGAACCGGTCACATCATGACAACAACAAATACATTTGGCCTGTGATACTGAGAAGGGCGGAGTGGAAGAAAAATGAAGTAAAACGTGGGAGCTGGCAGAAGGCTGAAATGAGACAGAATGCATCATCTGACTATCTCGGGAATATACGTTAGGTCAGGTCGTCAGGAGAAAAGGAAGTGTGCTGAGACCGGGTCTAGAGAGCTGGGTGTTTCCCAGCGCAGCGTTGGAAGATCCACGGGACCGCGACTCCTGGCCAGTCCTGCAAGTGCAGCGGACACTGGAGAAATGCCTGGGCTTGGGGAGTGGCCGTGGGGCAGGAGAGGCCCCGCCGGAGCGCGCGGCAGGCCAGCCCAGGGCCGCGGGTGCCTGGGAAAACCACCCTCTCCCCTCGGCGGGGTGTCTCGGTATTGTCCCGTCCCAGAGGACGAGGGGAATTTTGGAGCGTGGTGTCCCGTCACGTAAGCTTAACCCACAGAGTGGGAGCTACGGATCCATCCTGAGGCAGAACTTAGTAACGGGAGGGCGCCTTGATGTCCAAGAAGAGGACTGAAGCGGACCCCGTGGAAGTTGAGTCTGAGGAGGAGCCGAGGGGCGAATGTGGGCAGGGAGCTAACCAGAGCCCGGCCGCCGCCCTCCCGTTGCTCCCCAGGGCAGGAAGAGGGGCGATCCATTTCCTCCTTTGAACCGTCTATTTTTAACTTGAGTTGTAGCAATAGTGGAGTCTTTGTGGTTTTTAATTTTTCTGGAATTTGTAGCTTCATAGAAACTGTGGATAAAATCTGCCCGAGTATTGGTTCCTGTTTTGTTATTTTCTAGGCTAGAATCTTCTGGAATTGCATGCCAAACACATAGCATTTATGGGATTATGAGCTGTTTGGTCTTGATGAGAGCCCAGCGCCACTATTTGTTTTCACTGAAGATCTGAGGATAGTAATTGGATACACAGCGGAGATATGTTATGCTTACAATGAAAATATTTTTTGTGCTGCATTTGACATCATAACAAGTTGTGTTTTAGGACTTGGCGTTTGTTGAGGATCCCAGTTCACCTCTCCGCTCTGTCCCAGACACTGAGCTAAGCGGTTCTCACGAAATCCTCCGGCCGCGGGGCCTGCAAGGGCGTGGCGTCTCCCGGGCACTCGGGGACCTGGCACTCAGGGATGCTGGGCGCTCCGCAGTCCCTCGATCGCCATCCTGTCCTCCCCACCACACAAAGAATGAGGGCCTGAACCCCAACAGCTCCTCAGCCCAGCCGCCAGCCTTCGTCTCCCAGGCCCGGAGCGCAGAACCCAGATGCGTGGATTCGAGTGCCGCCAGAGGGAGGCTGTCTCCCGGCCTTGGCAGGAGGAGGCTCCCTGTACGCAGCCATCTCACGTGAGGCTGGCTTGGGCTTCCATCTTTCCCGTGCCCGGGCCTCCATGCAGGTCCGTCCCAGGACACAGCACGTGGGCTCCGTGGCCAGGGGCAGCCTGAGCTCTCGGCACCCGTGGGGGAATGACAGAAACAGGTGGGCGCCCCCTGCTGGCTGCCGAGTGCCTTTCCAGTCACCTCTCTACATGTCCTCGGCTGGCCGTCACTGCACCGCCCAGTTACCAGACTCCACGGCAGCCGCATGCAGGTCGACCAGTGCCCGCGGCCGGCTGAGCGGCGTGCGGGTGCCGAGAGGAATGAGCAGGGGCGAAGAGAAGACAGCCGAGGGCCGAACCTGTTTTAGGGAAGGAGGTGTTTCTTTGTCTTCGTTTGGACTCGGGTCAGGATGTGGGGTCGAGTCCACTGTAAACCACACTCACTTACAAACAGCCTCAAAGATGGTCTTTCACTGCATCTAAACCAGTAGGCGGTGGTACAGGCTTCGCCCCTGCCTCCCCCCCCACAGAGCCCTCCCCTCCCCAGCAGCCCCCTGGCTGCCCCTTGTTCTTCTTTAAGTAAATGCTTCATTTATGATGTCGGAGTGACAGTTTCTCAATAAAGACAAAGGCTTTGGACACTTGGCTTCCAGATATTTCTGGCATCAGAACACTTTTCCCCTCCTCCCCGCTCCCTTATTTTTGGCTATAGAGGGTCTCGCTGTGTAGCCCGGGCTAGCCTCAGAGGGTCTCGCTGTGTAGCCCGGGCTAGCCTCAGAGGGTCTCGCTGTGTAGCCCGGGCTAG